CATAGCCTCCACCATAGGCACCCCGTCTCATTCTTTCAAACCCGGCTCCTCTGCCAATGCTGTTATACCCTCTTCCTGCCCCTGGCCTATCATAAGGACCTGGGCGCTGCATAGTCATTAGCTTTCGAGGTGGATCATAGTGGGTTCGGACTTCAGCTCGGCTACTCTTGAAGATTTCAATGTACCTATGCCCTATTCTTTCCTTGTGTTTCTTTAAGGCCTTTTCAGCTATCTCCTGTGATGCAAACTGCACAAAAGCTTCCCCTGTGCTCCGCCCCTGAAAGTCCACTGGCAGTGTCATCCCATTTGGCACAATTTCCAACCCTGAAAAGAACTGAACAATTTCTTCCTTGCTACAGCCAAATGGGAGTCCTCTGAGCCGTACAAAACCATCATTGGCAGTATCAGGACTATTTGGACCTGTATGCTTTAACACCCAATCCATTTCAACACTGTTGGATTTGAATACTTCAACATATCTGTGTCCCATGGTTTCTCTGTCTTTCTTTAAAGCCAATTTCACTTCATCTTCAGATTCAAGTTCGACAAATGCTTCACCACTGGGTCTGCCTTCTCTGGTGTAGATGAAACGAACACCTGATGTGCCATTTTGGATTTTGCAATCAGAGAAGAAGCGCATCACTTCCTCGGCTGAGCAGGACCAGGGTAGGCCCCTGACCTTCACCACGAACCCCTCCCTGCCCTCTGTGCTCAGCATCATGATGACTGATGGACTCTTGGTGGCAAGCTTGGCTCAATGCAATTTCAAAGTGGCTTTAAAAAAATTAGAAAACTATCGTCATGAAAGTGTATACAATATAGTAAGAGAAACAAAGAAAACTACTATTTTACAAGTTCAAATCAGTAAGTTTTTCAAAGGAGCCATATGAACAAAGACTGCATAAAACTTTTAATTCATTCACTTAACGAGTGTTTATCCCATTTCTATTATGTATCAGGTATAATTAGTGGTGGTTATTTCTGGGTAGAAGTACTATAGGAATTTTTTGTTTCCATGGATACTTTTTTCTTTTAGATAATTTCGAATATTCTAAATTTTCTGCACCGAGCCAATGTATTAACATCACAGAGAGAAAATCAGAACTAAATATAACAAAGCGTAACTACATCCCATTATGTAAAAATGAAAATATTCTTTAAATAAAAAGATAAACAAAGGCCAGGCAGTGGTGGTGCATGCCTTTAATCCTAGCACTTGGGAGGCAGAGGCAGGCGGATTTCTGAGTTCGAGGCCAGCCTGGTCTATAGAGTGAGTTCCAGGACAGCCAGGGCTACACAGAGAAACCCTGTCTGGAAACCACCTCCCACCCAAAAAAGGACAAACAAAACTCATGACACAATGCAACAAATCTACTAACAGCCTAAGAATATAAACAATGAATGTAAGTCAATAAAATACAGAACTATTAAAGCCTAAGAAATAAATGGAAGATATTAATGGGAATTTATACATTCAAACATGTTTTAGGTGACAGGTCCAGTACTCAGTTCTGCCATGGAAGAATCAGTAAGCCTGGAGAAGGCTTACAGTTCTACAGGAGAACTGTGTGTCTTCCCCAAAGGTAAGTGCAAATACATAGACTACATAGAAGGCAAACACACAGAAGGACTGGTTGAGGAAGTCTATCAGCTGGAGGCAGGAGAGTTAATTGAAGCCAAGTATCCTGATTCTGTTCCAGGATCCAGAAACTATGTATAAAAAAATTTCATGGAGCACAAAACAGAAAGGGACAAAACTCCAAAGACAAGACTGTCAAGAAAGAGAACAGATCCCGAGGGTTCTAGTTAATATAAGTAGACTGAGTCTTGTTTGCGTCACAAGCACGATGATTTTGTACCCACACCACTGTGTGACATGGACCTCCCCAAACCGTAAGAAATGCACCACTCAAACAGAAGGAACAGGGAACTAGGTCAAATGAGCAAATTTTAAAATGACCCATTGAAGAGCTTGTTTAAGAGCACTGACTGTGCCGGGCGGTGGTGGTGCACGCCTTTAATCCCAGCACTTGGGAGGCAGAGGCAGGCAGAGTTCTGAGTTCGAGAGTTCGAGGCTAGCCTGGTCTACAGAGTGAATTCCAGGACAGCCAGGGCTACACAGAAAGCCCTGTCTCAAAAAACCAAAAAAAAAAAAAAAAAAAAAAAGAGCACTGAGTGTTCTTCCAGAGGTCCTGAGTTCAATTCCCAGCAACCACATGGTGGCTCATGACCATTCATTAATAGGATCCGATGTCCTTTTCTGTCTGATACCCTCTTCTGTCATGTAGGAAGCATACATGCAAATAGAACACTCAAATAAATAAATAAATAAATAAATAAATAAATAAATAAATCTTTTAAAAAAATGACCTATTGAGATGAGTGTGCTGGCATGTGCCTTTAATCCTAGCACTCTGGAAGCAGAGGCAGGTGGGTTTCTGAGTTTGAGGGAGTTCCAGGACAGCTAGGGATGCAGAGTTGAGACCCTATTCCAAAAACGAACAAATCACAACAAAGGAGGATATAGGACTTCAGGCAACTAAGGAATGCTGACAGTGGGGAACACTGTCTTCCCCAGAGCAAAGCACACCGATTGGTTATCTAATAGCAAATGGTCAGGCCTCAAAGCATGCACACAACCATGCTGAGCAGGTGATATTTATGATTTAGGAATATACACACATATGTAACTGAGAAAAAGAGGCCAAGAATTTGAAAGAGAGCAAGGTAGGGAGGAGTTTGAGCATGGGAAGGTTTGGAGGGAGGTAAAAGGAAAGGCATTACGATGTGATTATAACTTCAAAAACAAATTTAAATGCAGAGGCAAAAGGAGCACATAGGGAAAAAGTCTGGGGCATGCTCAAACTTCATTCAAAATGAAACTGAAAGTAAAATAAACATTTTTAACACCCATCAAAACTAGTGGAAATTTAACAGTGACAGTAAGTCAACATTATGGAGAGTTCACCAGAAGAGTTAAAGACTGCACTATTCTGGAAAAACATGTTGGTAATATTTACCACACCTTCTGACAGAAAATCCACTTCAGGTATGTGCCTTAAGGAATTACCTGAAATTGAGAGCAGGACTTATTGAACTATGTAGTATTTGAAAGGCATGTCATGAAGAAAAGTGGATTATACATTTAACATAAAGTTACAAAATTCTAAATGACTCAAGATCAAAGCCATTTTTTTTAACTCACTTATGTTAAAAAATTAGAATTCACATACCCTTTGACCCTGTTAGAGTTTCTTCCAGGAATCTGGTCGACAGAAATACTTTTAAAATGTTTGCTTCAGGACTGTAATGGTAAAAAAAAAAATCAGAAGACTAAATGATCATCAACAGAGATGGATGAAATCTCTTTCTACCTTAAATGGAGTTCTATGCAATTACTGACTAAGTGATCTGCCCCTTACCTGGGAAGGAATGAATGAATGGAACATTCATAGTATAATCCTACCTCTATTAGAATGTTCAAGAATGAAACGAAATGTATAACTGTGTGAGAGACGGTTTGAAAGTAGCTTCATGTAACTTTAAGAACAAATGGAACCCAAGGGAATGAATATCGTTCACCTTTTAATACTATACCCTTTAATTTTTTTTAATTCTTTATACTCATTGGATCGAGACAAAAATAATCTTAGAACAAAAACATAAGCACGGGAAATATGACAAAAAATTGGTAAAAACTTCTTTTGTGTGCAGGGATTGGGGATTGTACATCAAATGTTAACAATGGCTATTGAGTTTATGGTTTATTTTTAAATTTTATTTTGTGCAGGCTTAACGGTCTGCTTAAAGAATAATTTGACACAACATCCCAGAGATTCTGCCTCAATAGGTTCTCCCTAGTGGCTGAGAGGTTTTGCTTCTTTACATTTCCTGAGAAGGCCACCAGGACTCTGTTACCTAACGTAGTAACCAGGATTTATGAGTTAACAATCTGGGTACTTATACCCGTGTTACAGCACACTTTTTGTAACTGGTATTAAGAGTTGGGTAGCGCTGAACTGTGTCCCTTTGAAACGAATTTATTACTTTTCGAACGACCAAAATTCAACTCGCAGATCGTGATAAGCAGAAAAACAAACGTTCAAATAATTAAGTAAAAGCATTTATTGGGCGCCTCTCGAGCACGCATCACTTGCCCAGCTCATACTTTTAAGGGTGGAATTCCCTTGGGACCCCTCGCGACCATCCGGCCGTTTGAATAGTTGAGCGCCTGAATGGATGGAGCGGTACTCCGACCGCGGGTCTCACTCTGTTGTTTTTTTTTTCTTTTCTTTTTTCCCTAACTCCGGACCGTGTTTGAAACGCTTTTCATCTTACGGGTCCCTCTTGCGAGCAGAGGGGGAAAAAGTCCCCCGAGATCGGGCCAAAGGAACAGATTTACAAAAACACGCACACAGTCACGACCGTCCACCATTTCCCCACCAGGCGCAGCGCAGGCCGCTTCCCGGCACTCGGGGAGGGGGAGGGGGGAGGAGGACGGGGTTGGGGGGGGAGCCGAGAACGAAAAAGGCGGAGGCGACCCCGGACCCGACTCTGCTCTTCCTTATCACCACCCGGGGTCCCCAGTTCCCACCCGCACACCAACCTCCAACGAGACCGGGGGGATTTTCCTCCTTCTTCCCTCAAACGGCTATAGCGAGACGATAGACGACGACCAGAACTACTTCTGCTCACGTAAGCGATTGATCACGTGAGCATCTACGTCATGTGAGATCTCGGTCACGTGAGCAACTCTCGGCTTAAACTCGGGATCACTAAGGTGCCGCACTTCCTCCTCCTTTGGCAATGGGGTGGGCCAAGGTAAAGAGAGCGCCAATATGATTGGTTGATGAATGTGTTACGTGACTATTCATTGGTTCCCTTTTGGAGATAACGTCCCAGTTGCCTGAGAAACGATGATGTCATTATTGAGTAGTTCGTTGCGGATTGGTCCGCCCCAAGGGTAAACTTGAAAGCCCAGTTTAACTCAGGAAACTGAACCAAAGGATTTCAATGACCATGAAGCTTTGGAGTGGACATGTGCGGCTGGTCTGTGAGCTTGCGCTTCGCCCCCTGGCTTTAGTTTTCTGGAGCATTCTTGGGGCTAGAGCATTGGACAATGGCTTGGCGCGCACTCCTACTATGGGCTGGCTGCACTGGGAACGTTTCATGTGCAACCTTGACTGCCAAGAAGAGCCTGATGCTTGCATAAGGTATGAGATATGGAGTGATCCTTCCTCTTTCCGTGTGTTTGTGTGGGTGTTTTTGGTAGAAGGTGTGGAACATTTGAGCTGGAGGGGTAGATCTCCTACTATTGATGCTTTTTTATTCCCAGTAATATTTATATTATATATTTTATATTAAATTAAATTTAAAATTGTATGTCCCATCTGAGATTTAGACTGTAAACTATTATCGTTGTGAACTATCCTGAAGTTGGAGCTAGCTAGCAGCTAGTGCTTCGCTCCCACTCCATCTATCCCTCACTGGGAGTTTTTCATTTATTATTTGGTTCCATGTAGACCCTTTGTGTGGGTTTGTACTCTGCCCTTATTTAGTGCTGCCTTGTGCTACCCATAAGTACAGTTGGAATGGGCAGGAGGATGACTAAGACCCATGTGATTTTCTTCTTTTTGAATCACGGGTTCTTTGGCTGTAATGAAGCTAGAGTTAGAGAAACCATGGGATAACTGAGGTGTTCCTGAACCCCCTTCCCTTGAGCATAGCAGCAGGCTGGAAGGTTGACCTGAAGGAACTTTATACGTCAAAGGTGAGAGATAAGACCAGGCATAATCCTAGTTTGCAAACTAGGATGAATGTCCGCCTTAACTCATGGAGCTGACACAGAAAAAGCTGTAAAATTGCTGGGCATGGTGCCTCAGGACTTTAATCCCAGCACTCCGGCGGCAGAAACAGGCAAATCTCTTTTTGTTGTTGTTGTTGTTTTGTTTTTCGAGACAGGGTTTCTCTGTATAGCTCTGGCTGTCCTAGAACTCACTCTGTAGACCAGGCTAGCCTCGAACTCTCGAACTCAGAGATCCGCCTGCCTCTGCCTCCCAAGTGCTGGGATTAAAGGCATGCGCCACCACCACCCGGCTCAAATTCTGTTTTTTTTTGTTTTTTTTTTTTTGAGACAAGTTTTCTCTGTGACCTCTGGCTCCCAAGTGCTGGGATTAAAGGGTTACACCACCACACCTGGCCTCGTCAGCTTCTTAAATGAATCTGTGATTTAGAAAAGATTAAGAACCAGTGTTAGATATTGAATGGCTCCCTTATAAGTATTATTGAAAATAAAGAAGTAAGGTCGCCTAGTGGTGCCACAACTTCCTCTCTGTATTCACCAATTATTTCTCTGAATGCCTCTAAAGGTAAAGTCAAGGTGTTGGGCAGATATCATAAGAGAAAATGGTTTTTTGAGTTTCAGACTATGCCCATTGTATCCCTGAGATAAAATCTGTGGTGACTTGACAATGTAGGGCTTTTTTTTTTGTCTTTTTGTTTTGTTAATGGTGGCTGGGTTTTTTTTGGGGGGGGGAGCGAGAGGGAGCTTGTTATAAAACTAGTGACCACTTCATCAAGTAAGTGTTAAAAATGATATAATGGAAATTAAGCCTCCTTATTTCATTATCCAGAAACAGTCATGGTGAACATCCATATATAACCCTGCAGTTTATTATGTAAATGAAAACACAGATTTCTAACTGACTTCCTAAAAAAAACAGCATAACTTTTATGTGTGAGTAACATCAACACTCCAGTGCCCTGCCTATGTTCAAATTCTACTTCATTGTAGCTTTAGGCAAAGCGTTCATCTTCTTTTGTTTTTCCTAAAGTTTGGGGACATGTCTGAATGTATTGCACATGCTAAGCAAGTGTTCTATTACTAGGCTGAATTCCTTGCTCTTGGACTTTGGGGACATGGTCACCCTATGTGGATCAAGGTCGTCTTGAACTGAGGATCCTTCTGCCACCTTGCTGGACATGCAGGACCATGTCCAGTATAATTATTTTTGTCTAAATTGGACGAGGGATGTAGCTCAGTTGGCACAGTGTTTGCCTAGCATAGTTCTTGTAAACTGAGCATGGTGGTGCACATTTAAGTCCCAATGTTCAGGAGGTGGAAGCAGGAGTATCAGAAGTTTGAGTCCATCTTATGTCACACAAGTTTGAGGCCAGCCTGGGATACATGTCAATGACCTCAAAAAAAAAAAGTGCAGAGTAGTGTACCTAGTACAGAGTAAAAACTTGATAAATTCAAGTCTCTGTATGCTATAATTCATTTGTGCAGTCCTCTGTTAAGAGCTATTAGTATTCTTCAATTTTTGTGCATCCTATAGTTGAATTCTCTGTCTCTTTTTTTTTTTTCTTTAAGGCTTCTTTTTTTTTTCTTTTGGTTTTTTGAGACAGGGTTTCTCTGTGTAACCCTGGCTGTCCTGGAACTCACTCTGTAGACCAGGCTGGCCTCGAACTCAGAAATCCACCTGCCTCTGCCTCCCAAGTGTCTTTTTTTTTTTTCAAATGAGAATGGTCTCCCTCTGTGGGGCTGGCTGATCAATATCTTGAGCCACCACCCCGGGCCAGGCTTCATTCATTTCTTAGAACACTAATTTTAGGGTGTAAAGCTATGATTATTTTGATACTATTAAACAGTCATTAACTAAGATTTTGCAGATGTATGTGCATACCCACAGTGTGTTGTCATCTTGCCTCTTTTCCCAGCAATGTAGCCAACCCTGACCTTTGTCATTCTCTTAGAACTTTTGCCAGTCTGCTTTGTGTTATTATTTTTTTTTCTACCCCTGTGAGACTTGAACCTAAGATTTAACATGTTAGAAAATGTTAAACACTGACCTACACCCCAGCCCTTCTTATGTATATGATTGTAATTAATTACTAAGGAAGTTTAATGCCTTTTCCTACTTTAAATCAGTCCCTTGAACTCTTTCCTCAATGGATTTCCTTTTTTTGCCATTTATCTGTGTCATCTGAGTTTTTCTTTTATTCCATTTGTTTTGGGTCTTGCATGTATTGCAGATACAGATAGTTCTTGACTATGAGTTGTTTTTGAAATTCATATAATGGGACATATCAATTCTTTATTTCTGGCTTTGAAGTCTTACGCCAAGAGATCAAAGTTAAAATAAAAGGTAAATAGCATTTTATTTGAGTGCAGAGTAAGTTTGCAAATAGGAAACAAGGACTCAGTTTGACTGAAATAGCATTCCAGAGGGAAGGTGGGTTTTTATAAGAATGTGATTGTGAGCCAGGTGTGGTGGTACAGACCTTTAATCCTAGTACTCCAGAGGCAGAGGCAGAGGCAGGCAGATCTCTGTTAGTTCAAGGGCCAACCTGGTCTACAGAGCTAGTTCTAGAACATCCAGGGCTACACAGAGAAACCATCTCAAAAAGAAAAAACAAAATAAAATAGGGGTGGTGGTGATCGTGAAACCTTGTATTCTTTGGGGAAGCCAGAAGACTCATGGCCTGAGATAGATAGATGGTTCTCTTTCTGAAATCTTGAATCACAGTAATCTTTGTATTCTAAAAGCTGTGCTACAGGAGCCTCATTTCTTTTATAGAACATAAACATTTCATCTTTGAGGTGAGCTCTTTAAATCTTGCCAAATTCCTTCAAAAGTCTTTTTGGGATTTGTTCAAGGTTTCCTGATCCAAGAGTAAGATAATGTTTCTCCATTTATTCAAGCCATTGAGGAACAGAATAGTTTTAATATATGGTTGATAAACATATTAATCTCTAGGTATCCTAGCCTTTTCTGCCTCCTTTTTTCTATTACTATTATGAATGAGATTGTTTGCTCTACCTAGGTAAAGCTGATACCAGAAGAAGCTGTTTATCATGCTAACCCTTCTCTGCTGGGATTTCTCTAGTTGTGGTAGGCCAGGAAGGCCTTGATCTTGCACATCCTCCTGCTTTGGTTTCCTCAATAGGGAGGATTACAAGCCTGTGTCACCACAGCTTGTTAGTTACAATAACTTTACAGTTTTGTCATGTGTCACATTCTTAATAATTTGGAGTTTTTGTTTATTTCTTTTATGGTTAGGCATGGAACTGAAGGCCCCAACCCTTCTGTGAGGTCTGGGTCAGAGGTAGTGGGAGGAGGGAGAGAGGAGTAACAGGAAGGATGGTTCATTTTACCTCATATGGGTTGTGATTACCACCATGGTGTTATTGCATTTTTAGAAACTGTGAAATCCCAAGATGCCTTAAAATGGGAGCGCTGAAGTATTCATCTAACGAATTGGAATGACTCTTCGAATTTCTTTTTCAGTGAGCAACTGTTCATGCAGATGGCAGAGCTCATGGCCTCTGATGGCTGGAGGGATGCAGGTTATGAATACCTCTGCATAGATGACTGCTGGATGGCTCCTGAAAGGGATTCCAAGGGCCGGCTTCAGGCAGATCCCCTGCGCTTTCCTAGTGGGATTAAACACCTAGCTAATTTCGTGAGTTTAGAGCTCATTGTTTATTTGTCATGGCTTTATGAAGGCTTATTATAAAACAGACCACATGATGCTTTGAAAATGTAATGTCTGAACAATAAATTATGGTGCTTGCCAGATGGAATTATCATCAGCCTATAAACATTTCACAATAGCTCCCAGGGCCTATCTTGGTAAAACATTTTTTGGCTGAAACCATCGAGTCTCCTACGCGACAAGGTTGTGACATGTATGCTTGTATTTCCACATCAGCATAAGGGGCCATACACAGTTATAGTATACTATTAAGTATATAATTGGAAAATGAATTTTAAAAGATAAAAGCAAATATTCTGGAGACTATTGAAAACAAATGAGGCCTGATACTAGCTAAAGGCAATGAAGCAGATTTTATTCAGTTCTGTAGGACAAAAGGTCATGTTCCAAACTGGATGGACAAGTGAGATTCTACAACCAATGAGCAAATACTGGGAGTTCAGTAGCTGGAAAAGGAGATATCAAGAGTCAGAGGATAGGATAAGTTACTGGGATCCTTGTTTTAACCGAGCTTTCCCAGACAGACACCAGGAAGGCCAAGACTGGAAGAGAGTCAGAGAGGCTTAACTGAAATGTCGTCACCCTTTCTCAAGACAAATCTATCACTGTTTAGAAAAAAGACTGTTTAGGATTGCATGAGGAACATTTAAGTGGTCATAGCCTTTTCCTCACTACAGTGCTACAGTTCACATGTATAGTTAGAACTGCCTTAGGAAAACTGGACAATTGGTTCCCTGCTTCCAACAAACTCAGCTTAAAAACTGGAGTGCTGTAAGGAACCAAGTCCCCAAGACCAGGAGAAGCACACATCTCTTCTCTTAGTCTTAGGAAGTGGCCCTCCCACCATTTTTTTTAAACTACTTCCTGGTTGATTTCCTATCGTGGTCCATTTTTCTTCTCATTTTAGGTTCACAGCAAAGGATTGAAGCTAGGGATTTATGCAGATGTTGGGAATAAAACCTGTGCAGGATTCCCTGGGAGTTTTGGATCCTATGACATTGATGCCCAGACATTTGCTGACTGGGGTGTAGATCTGCTAAAATTTGATGGTTGTTACTGTAACAATGTGGTATCCTTGGCGGATGGTATGTTTCTCTTTTTTTTAAATTGCATCTTAAAAATTACGTTGAAATCAACAAAGTCAAAATGATGTGTAGTACATGTAAGTGTGTATTTGTGGGGATGTATGTGCTATGGAGCCTGCTAACTCAGAGGACAACTTTTTTGTTGTTGTTGTTTTTTCGAGACAGGGTTTCTCTGTGTAGCCCTGGCTGTCCTAGAACTCACTCTGTAGACCAGGCTAGCCTCGAACTCTCGAACTCAGAGATCCGCCTGCCTCTGCCTCCCAAGTGCTGGGATTAAAGGCGTGCACCACCACCACCCGGCTGTCAGAGGACAACTTGCAGGAATTGGTTCTCTCTTTCCATCCATATGAGTCCCAGGGATCAAACTCAGGTTGTCAGGCTTGGCAGTAAGTACCTTTGCTAGCCAAACCATTTCATTAGCCTAAATGGTATGTTTTCTTCAAGAGATTTAGCCACAATTCTTTCTTGGCCTTTTGGTTAACATCAAGTGAAAGGTCTAGCCAGACACAAGAACTTGAGGCCATACTCAAGCCAAGCCTCCAAAGAGCTAATCTCTCCCTGGCTCTCTTTTTGCTTTCTTTCTCTGTGTAGCCCTGGGGGTCCTGGAACCAGCTGTGTAGATCGGGCTGGCCTTGAATTCACAGAGATTGCCATGCCTCTGCCGCCCGAGGGCTGGGATTCAAAGTGTGCCACCACTGCCCAGCCAAAGAAGTTGGCTCCATCATTTATTCATCTATGTGAAATTCATACATGCCTACCATGGCACGTGACATATACTGTGCACTTTTGATTGAAGGACCTTGAGACTACATTATAGTTATTAATTATAACTAGATCTGACATTGTGAGAGCCCAGATAAAGAAGTATCTGTTCCCTACCTTTCCTCTCTGTGCCTAGTGTCTCTGTCCCACCTCCTCAGAGCATCCCAGTAGTCACAATTGAAGCAGTTTTCAGCAGAGAACAACCTGTCCCTGTCACTAGTTTACAATATAAACCTGGACTTTCTAAGTGGCCTCTTCAGATACACAGCACTGGCCGGAAATCCCTGCTTTCCCTTATTTTACTCATTGTTTTCCTCATACAGGTTATAGGCACATGTCCTTGGCCTTAAACAGGACTGGCAGAAGCATTGTTTACTCCTGTGAGTGGCCTCTTTATTTGAGACCCTTTCATAAGGTGAGCTATTGAGCCCAAAATCTAAACTTGAGAGCTTTGAGTACAAAGATGCACTTCTCACTGTCCCCACTGCTTGTAATTCTGGCCTAAGCTTCTACCAACTAGGAAACCATCTTTGAGTTTTTCTCTTCTTTCACCTTTCACATCCTGTCCACCAGCAATCCTGCCAGTCTTCACTCGGAAGACTCTCTTGGTCTCAGTCACTTGCTGTCATTCCATCCACACTGGCCTTCCAGGCCACTCTCATCTCACCCAGCCTGCTTTTGACAGCCTCCTCCCTCTACTTCTGCTCCTTTCCTACCCCCGCCATTTTCCAGACAGCAGCAGAACTATCTCCTGAAAACTGTCAAGGGGCTCCCGTCTGTCTCCTCCTTCAAATGTACCTGGCTTTCCACTGCACTTGGAATAGAATCAAACTCCATCAACATGCCTCTTGCCTGCTTGTAGCCTCCAACAGCTCTTTCCAGCACAGCACTTTTTCCTTTCTGTACATCATATACCTTATCTACCCCGTTGTTTTATATTCACTGTGCATGGATGGTAATGGGTCACACAAACACAGGTTCATATAAGCCTATGATGACGCAATTGCTTATTGTTTCTTCCATGTCTTCCCCCAAGATTTTAAAAAGGGTTGGCTAATTAACACTGAATCTGATCAGATCCTCCATCCTTGGGTCTTCTCTACTTCAAAATAGCCTTCTGCCCATTCACTGTCTAGACATTAACTGTTTGGTTTTCCAGAAGGGTAGGTCTTTATTTATGAAATGAATTTATATTGTTTTCTTCAACTTTAGATAGTCTAACTTTTTCCTCAGCATTTTAGACCTTGGATGTCACACCTTCGAATCTACACACTGGTTCATTCTACAATTTACATGTTTCAGATTCAGATTCTATCATGTTCGATAGTATTACATTAACTTTACAGTAATGTAAAGTATATAATATAGGAGTAAAGATAGTATCCCAGTAACTTTACAGACCTTATTTTTATCATTTAGATCATTGTAATTAGCAACATGGCTATCTTAGGCAAGTTTACACATTAGTGTGTATAGATCTTTCATAATGCCAGTACTTAGACACACTTCAGTGCATGTCCAACATAAATAGTATTAAAGTCACTTTATAAACAGGTACTTAAAATTACATGGCCTGCTTAGATGAAATGAACATCTTCTGTTGAAATTCACTTACATTTAGAACTCCAAACAATGGTCAGGCTTTGTTATGGGAGGCTTTTGATCTGTAGATCAGTAAAATCTCACAGGAAAAAGATTATAAAGAATTCTGTCTTTTTACAGCCCAATTATACAGATATCCAGCATTACTGCAATCATTGGAGAAATTTTGATGATGTTTATGATTCCTGGGAAAGCATAAAGAATATCTTGGCCTGGACAGTAATTAACCAGAAGGAGATTGTTGAAGTTGCTGGACCAGGGGGCTGGAATGACCCAGACATGGTAAAGACCTGAACCCGCCTCATTTACGAGATAGCTTTTTAATGTTGGTGTCTGTATCTGAAACTAGGGCCTTGCACAAGCCAAGCAAGTTTTCTGGCCATACACCGAGCCCTGGGAAGAGGCCTTCTGTGAGTATTTACATCACCATGCTGTAGAAAATGGTTTCTCTCAGTCAATTATTTAGGACAGTTTTAAAATGTTCCAGCAGGCAATGTGTAGTTGCTTGGAATCTCAGAACTCCAGAGGCTAAGACAGGAGAGTTGCTCCAAATTCAAGGCCAATAGATTAGCTTGGACCTTATCTCCAAAAAAAAAAAAAGAAAAGAAAAAACAACTACTGAGTGGTCCCTGTAGGTATCCAAACAGAGAATTGAACCCACCGAAGAGATAGGAATGAAAACCAGGTGCATATTGACTTTTGTCAACATGGATCAGACTTTGGGGAGTCTAACTCCATGTAGTTCATTGTCAGCATATTTAAAACACAGTGCCATTTGGGAAAAGGTTTCCAGGCAACTGTCTGTCTGCTTCTAGGTGCACAATAAAGCTCAGGGTGTGGCTTCATAGGAACTCTTGTACACAGAGAGTCGGTTGTATAGCTAAGAGGCCTAGAATCTAGTGTCATCTCTGACCAATAGCACAGAGGTCAGCGGGCCATAAAGTACACATGACATCTCCCTTAAGGATGGGTAAGGGTCTAAGGGAGGGAAGGATGTGAGATAATCATTCTGGGAAATTTGGGTGAGGTCTGCCTCCACTGATAGCAAAAAGGTCACCAGGCTGTTGACAAAATCTACTCGAAGGAAAAATGGTGTTTTATCTCTTCCATTTGGAAGAGGCCCCTGTGCGTTTAGATATTCCTGGTTTTCAGACAGGGACTTCCTGTGTCCCCAACAAACAACAGAAACCCAATCAGTTGAATATTCTCCCATCTGACTTAGTGTACCCTTTGTCCTAGTTAGTGATTGGCAACTTTGGCCTCAGTTGGGACCAGCAGGTAACGCAGATGGCCCTCTGGGCCATCATGGCAGCCCCTCTACTCATGTCCAACGATCTCCGACAAATCAGTTCTCAAGCCAAAGCTCTACTTCAGAATGAGGATGTAATTGCCATCAACCAAGACCCCTTGGGCAAGCAGGGGTACTGTTTTAGAAAGGTAAGTAATGCCTCTTGGGGAGAAAATTGGCCAGGAACATATTCTCATGCATTTAAGTATATGATTCACAGTATTTTGTGATGGCCTTTTAATATTCAAGTACAAAATTATCTCAAGCCTAACTCTGCTAAAAGAGGACACGCCTGACCTTTTTCTCTGTTATTTTTCCCTTGATCTTGATAATGGAATGGCTAATAAGGCTTTTGCCAGAACTATTACTTTTTTTTTGTTTGTTTTCCAGACAGGGTTTCTCTGTGTAGCCCTGGCTGTCCTGGAACTCACTCTGTAGACTAGGCTGGCCTCAAACTCTCGAACTCAGAGATCCGCCTGCCTCTGCCTCCCAAGTGCTGGGATTAAAGGCGTGCACCACCACCGCCCGGCTGGACTATTACTTTTAAAAGATACAATTTTTCTGTTGTAGTCCTGGCTGTCCTGGAACTAGCTCTGTGGGCCAGGCTTCATGTGCGGTGTCCACCAGTGAGAACTACTCTGACATGGATTTAAACCAATAGAAAGTCTTTATTAGCCAGCCATACTCGGGTGTTTGGAATCCCAGTGTAGCAACGCCTTTATCAGGGTGAGCTTTTAAACAAAACCCACACCCTGGGTGGACATACTTCAGTTAATAGGAACACTTAGCCAGAACTGAAACTACAGAAGCTAAAAGACACAGTAGTACATCTAGAGACTTTGCCAGCAGTATGTGAACTTTGGTGGATGAGGTCTTTTTTGTTTTTTAAAACAGGGTTTCTCATTTAGCCCTGACTATACTGAAACTCTTTCCTTAGACCAGGCTGGCCTTGAACCAGCCTCTGCATCCTCAGTGTTGGGATTAAAGGTGTGTGCTGCCACACCCAGCTGCATATGACTTCTAAATTTCTAAAATATATCTCGGGCTAACTTTCATTTTCTCCAAGTGCATGATAGTTCTGCTAATAAGGCTGAATATCAAATATGGCTAGTAATGAAGTTACCACATGTTCCACATGTTCACACTTCTTTTCTTGGCTTTTCAGGAAAACCACATTGAGGTTTGGGAACGGCCACTCTCAAACTTAGCCTGGGCTTTGGCTGTGCGAAACCTGCAGGAGATTGGTGGGCCTCGTTCTTACACCATCCAGATTTCTTCCTTGGGTCGAGGACAAGCTTGCAATCCTGGCTGCACCATCACTCAGCTTCTGCCTGAGAAAGCACATCTAGGCTTCTATCAATGGACTTTAACCTTAAAAACTCGAATAAACCCTTCAGGCACTGTTTTGCTTCGGTTAGAAAGATAACTATACTATCTTTAAAGGCAGAGATCTGTATAAGTGCTGGGTTTTGCTAAAGACCAAACTATTTCCTGCCTTTCCCTCTATTTCCCCTTTAAAACAAGGTAGGCTTTTGAAATTAAGTGGGCATGCCTGTGCCAGATGCTTCCGTATACTGGTTGATTTTAACTGTCACAACCCTGGAGTAGGTGTTTACCCACTATAATCTGTACAGCTAAATAAAAAAAAAACCTTTAAATTTTGTGTGGTTGTGGTTCAAGTGTGAGTTCCACATGCACACCTGGTGCTCAGGAAGTCAGAAGGGCATGGGATCCTCTGGAACTGAACTCTGTAAAGAGCAAGTGCTCTCAATCACTGAGTCAGCTCAGAGCCAGGAGTTAAAGCTAAACCAACTAGACACAAATCACTATATGGGGGTACTTGGCATGGACTATGTACCTCTGATACTCTGCATGTGTACAAAAACATCCACCTGAAAAATTGAAGGCGTCAAATGAAACCCAGACATGCGTGAGAGATAATTGAGCACTTAAGAGCAGTGTGGCGGAGTAATTCCCAGCACCTACATGAAGGCCAACAACTTTAGTCCCAGGGGATCTGACCTCCCTCCTCAGTGTATCTGTAGACTAGTGCTGATAGAAAAAAGGTTTGGAAGACAACAAAGCCATTCTGAAATGCCTCTAACTCCAGCACTTGGGAGGATGAGGCCAACCTAGTCTACAGAGAAACCCAGGGGGTGGAATTGGGGGACACCAACAGAAAAAAAAATCCCACTTGTTGTGTTACTGGCCTATACCTGGAAATACAAGTCTCCGGGTGGGGTAGGTAGGAGGTGTGGGATGTGGAATAGTTGGAAGGTGGATGCGGGAGGGGGAATCTCGGGAGGGGGATAAGTCTGGACTGTAAAAAGATTAAATAAAAGATTTCAAGAAAAGTCAATTTATGAAAGCTTTAATTTATTCCCTCACCAAAGACAATCAAAGGGGGTGAAAGGTCAAGATTTTACTGTCTTCATAACAAAATCAGCTTAGAACTGGATCACTTGGCCCTGTAAACAGAACAGAAAAACAAAATGTGTTTTGTAATTTTTAAGGAACCTTTACATAAGCCATAGCCCTGGGTTCAATCCTAGCCCCCCACACACAAAAAAAAACCTTAGAGGCCATGTCTTTAGATACATCAGTGTTCAAAATTTTGGATGTGCCAATAAAGCATATGCTAAATTCACAAAATATAAAACACTTCTGTTCCCAAGCATTTCAGATGTGGGATATATAACTCAGCTGTGGACAGTTATCTTGGAGGGTGCCCTACCTATGGTAGGTACAGAGAAGCCTGAAACAGTTTACTCTACAAATAAAGATTTATAGTAAAAAAGGAGGGTACCTTTCTCTTCTTGTCGCCTCCCAGTTCAAAATGCTTGCACCTCTTAATAGCCAGCATCCTCTTAGATCTGCAGTTGGGCTCGACACACTCCAGTCGCAGCACGATCTTCTTTGTAGTTTTAGCCTAGAAAAGATACGAAGTCAAATCCCTCACAAAATTACATTTTGTCCCAATTTGTATTTAGCTATGGAGTTTAAAAACCTGTGGTTTTAAGAGAAAACCTAACAATAACAAAATGGAAGCAGTGTGTGGTGGTATGAACTTGTGGCTCCCAGAGGCAAGGTACAGCCACAGGAGTTTGAGTTCAGTCTGTGTTACATACTGTCAAAAAAAAGCTACTGTAAATTTGTAGCCTTCTAGGCTACTTTTAAAATTTTTTAGTAGTTGAATCAAATAAAAGCCAGCCAAATTCATGCTAACTAAGAAATAAAACTTAAGACGGGACACTTATCAACCTACACTTTTCTGGACTTTTGAGTACACTCCCCATTAATAATCAACTGAGTCCATGATTTGAAATGTATCAATTTTCCACACAAGTTGGCTGGACATTTAAATGAATCTTTCCATTACCTTACAAACCCAAGCAGCTTACATGTTGACTGTAAGTTCTGTAAGCCTGTGAAATCCCAGCCTTCTATGGCAGTACAGGGAATCGAACCTGCCTTTATAATCAGTAACAACTCCACCACTGAGCCTCAGGAACAAACAGCAATTTTTGCTGCAAGAGCTGAGGATTCAGACATAACCATAAACAATTAAGTCTTCTTGGTATACACATAATTCTTAGGACACATTCCTTCCTCTTCGCCTCTTTAAGGGGTACAGTAAATACTGAGGATTCCAGTAATCACTAACCTTTTTGCGGAAAATAGGCTTAGTCTGACCACCATAGCCACTCTGTTTCCTGTCATAACGCCGCTTACCTAGGGGAAAAAAAGTTACTCGTTACGGCATACTACAGGTTTTAAGTCAAAATAGTCACAAGGAAAAGTCTCAGGTCTAAACTTGAAGCTGTCCTGCATTGAGAAATAATCCTACCGAAGGAGAGGGACGATAGCTGGACTTGTACATTGCATGTCACATCAGAACCGAACTACTGAGTCTGGCATGCCAGGGAACAAGTACAACCCTAACTCTTGAGAGGCTGAGACAGGGAGCTTGCTTATTGCCAGTCCGCCTAGAGAGGAGAGGCTCCGGTCTTAATTTCCCAACAACTCCCCATCCCACAACCATATTAGACCTAAGCAGCTTACCCTGGGCATACAAAGAATCCTTGCCCTTCTTGTACTGGGTCACCTTGTGGGGTTGGTGCTTCCCACATTTCTTGCAGAATGTCCGGCGGGTCTTAGGAACGTTCACCTAGTAAAAAGAAAGTGTTCAGAACACAGTTCCGGGACCACAATGGCCCAGAGTCCTCGCTGGATGCAAATAAATAAAACTAATTTACTCTACAACTACTATCACACAATGACCATGTAGCTCTAAAAGGCGCTGCAGTCACACGCGCCATCAAACAGCGAACCCACCCACAGCTAAGTCACGCCATCAACTCAATTCCTCCGCCCATAACTCGGTTTCCTCTGTGTCGCTCTCTGCTATGCTAGGTTTCTTGGGTACATCGAGGTTATGCCAAAGCCCGGATGCACCCTAGGATGGTACTGTACTCGCTGGGTACAAGGATTAAGCTGGATGCTACCAAAGCCCAACAGACGACCATACCATGTTGGCAGGAGCGCTATCAGCTCAGAAAGAGAGAAGAGAGAGCAGCAACGGAAGTTTATAGGCGGTGCCTGGTGCACTTCCTCAGAGTCGTGGGAAACAGCGACCATAGAGTCTGTCTGTAGGGATCTCAGCACAGCGCCCTCTTACGGGTGGATGATTTGTCTTAGCTGCAGATGCGAGTTTCAGCCGAGGCTCCGCCTAGGGTCTGCAGCTCTCTGCTCCACTTCCTCCCGCCCAGCGCCTGTAGCTGTGGGCAGACGTTGCAATTTAGTAGCTTATGCAAAGAAAGCAGTTCTCTCCCCAGACTCGTGTTGGAGCAGTACCGGGACTAGGATCAAGTGGAGGGTTCCTTCACCTCAGCAAAACATTCTTGTTCCTCTTCAAGGAGATCAAAGATGATCTTTTGCATCAAAGTGTGGCTCAAGGAAGCCCTGGGATGGAGCTAATTGCTTCAGTTCCTTTCTCGTGTGATCAGTGGGTCCACATGTTTATTTACTGTCTATTCTGTTTCGGGCAATGTTGTTGGAGCCGAACAAGGTAATTGAATGTGCTCATTAATGTCCAATTCCAGGCTACGTACATTGAAGAAAACGAACAGTAATAGCTGCGAGCGGCTGAGGAACTAAATTGGCTAATTTGGTTCTGAAAACTGGCAATGAATTTACCCAGCTTCTGAAGTACTCGGGTCAACAAAGAAAACATACTTCAGCACTTTGCTTCCCCGAATACGTGCCAGCAGGCATGCATGACATTTCAAGATAGTCCAGCGGAGAAAGGCTGAAGGGGACTGAGTTTTAAAAATAGATTCTCAGAGTAATTCTAGGAGAAAGATGGTAATGCTACTTCCATTTTCCAGGCGAGGAAACCGGTGGTGGTTTCCGGTGGCATGTGAAACCATTTGTCCAGTGTCAGTAGCGGTGTATTCAGAATGCACACCCCCACGTGTTATGACTCCAGAACCTACCTTCCTTTTCACATCACATAATATTACTATCATGGCCTGTGTATTATAACAGCTATCTTTGTGACAAAGAGGGCTTCACTAATCCTAGGCTGCCTTTAAAGTCACCTACGTAGCTGAAGATGGTTGTGAACTTCTGATCCTTGTCCTGAGTGGTGGAGATCGCAGGTATGTGCAACTTTATGCCTGCCTCTTTAAATCCTATCCATCTCAGGAGCGGCTTACTATTACTAGTATTCACCTAATGAGGAGACTGAGGCACGTGAGGCCTTAAATGCACTTACCCAAAGGTTGCACACATGGTTATTTTGAAGCTGGAATTTGATCTTAAGCCATTTAATACGACATAGCCCTAGCCTTAGCCAGTACATTACACAGGGAAAGAGAGGCAAATGTAGGTAGACAAATGGGCCAGAATGCAGAAGGAGGCAGCAGTGGCCAAGGAACTAAGAGTAGGAGACCCTGAAGTATCCTGCTTGCATAATGCTCCAGAAACAAGCTGACACTTCGTTCACCCCTATTTTTGTTGGGTGATCTCCTGGGGTTAAGGTAATAATAACGCCATTGTCGGTTACATTTCTTTACCATGCCACCATTTGATGTCCAGCAAGATTTTCTTCTCTCTAGTTAAAAAGTTTCACTGGCCTTTAGGGAGTTTCTAAATTTTTGATGTGTTTGTTTTTTGTTTTACATGTAAGTGATCTGGAGATGAGAAGACAACTGGCCCTCTTCAGCGAATCAAACTTGGTTCTTTTGATCATTCCTGTGTGATGTAGTTGGGGGGGGGGAGGTTTTATTTTAAAATATTTAATTGACAAAATTGCATGTGTTTCAGGTATATGATGTCATGATATACACTCATCTTGTATAGTAACTACCACAGTCAAATTGACACATTCATCACCATCAATAGTTTGTGCGTTTGTGCATGTGTGTGTGTGTGCGTGCACGTGCGTGTATCTGTGTGTGTGTGTGTGTAGGTTGAAGACACTTAAATCTGCTCTTTTATCCAACCTCAAGTACAAAACCGAGTACTAATACAGTCTCCACGTTGCACATTGATTCTCCAGAAGTTACTCATCTTATAGCTCACGATTTGTTTAGCACTATTTTTTTTCTGTTTTCTACATGTCTGTGCTCCTTACTTTCCCCCTAAAATGAAGCACTGAGAACTGTAGACAGGACTCTAGTTAAGACTCTTTAGTTCTCGGTGCTTCAAGACTAGAAGAGATTCACTTTCCTCTAGATATTTTACTTCTAGGAGAAAAAAAAAGCTCAATGTCACCTTAACTTTCCTCTCAGCCATTTTTGCTTCGGACTTGCCATGTCTTTTAGTTGCTGTCACAAAGCCCAGGTACCATTTTCACAGATACTCCAACCACCCACCCTACTTCCACCTGGAGATATTTGAATTTCAAAGTTGGAACCTAGTTGTGAGATGGCACCCTTCACCCTGGAAAACACATTGTTGAGTTTGATCTCTTAAGCCAAATGACAAAGGTCTTTTTCAATATTAATTGCTCGGATGCATCAAGTACACAGCCTTTCACTATTTATACAACACACTAATTGGGCTACTTTATCTTCCTCATAACTGTTTACTACAGACAGCACCAAGATCAGAACCTTATAGCACATTGTATTTAAGTGTATGCATGTGTGCATGCCACAACATGAGTGTGGAGGTCAGGAGGACCACTAAGGGAAATCACTTCTCTCCTTCCATGGGTATTGGCAAGTGCTTTACCTGCCAACCCATCTCCATGGGGAATAATTTAAATGTTCACTAGCTTATTTGTTCGCACTATTTTGGGATATTCCTATTGGTATGAATGAGGGTACTAGGTTGTGACCAAAGGGTGAAAAAGTTCCTACCTTTATTCTGCCTTCCGCCTTTTCTTCCCTGTCTAATTTCCCACAGTGCTGCTATTAACTCCCAATTCCCGCCCTAAATGGACCTTTCGAAATGATGGGGCATGTGACAAGAAGCATCTCACTGAAGAAAAACGGAGGTATGGTGAATGTCTATGGTCACTCCACTGATGACTAGAATAGCTACTGCATGTGACCAAGGAAAGGCCATAACTTGTCAATAAAGTAGAGAGAGCCATATAATACCTGGTGCCTATTGATCTATACCAATATAATGAATTACCAATCTGCTGTTCTACAAATGCTTTTTTTTTTAAAAAAAATCCTAGTGCTTTCCAAATTCTGACCAATTTTTGGGATCGGTAATATGTTTCTGTATTAAAGTGTAATGTCTCTGTAAGGCAATATGAAAGTGGCCCAAGAGAGAAGATGGACAAGATCAATCACCAGGGCCTCTGCCACCATCATGTGGAAAATACTGGCTACATTTCTTCAGGAGAATCCTCACAGAGAAGATGGAAACTGAGACACAAACTCGGGACCTGCTAAGGGAACATTCAGGCTTCAAAAAACACATCTAGTCTTGTTTACTAGTTGATAGAATCAAAGAAAATATTATACCTTGTTTATCTTGGAGGGAAAAAAAATGAGACAGAATCTCCTGTGTTGTCCAAGCTTTGAACTGGTGATCGTCCTGTCCCCCATCACCCCAGTAGATGGGATTATAAGTTTGTTTCATCGTGGCTCAGCTCATAAGGCTGAATTTTGAAGGTAGAATATTCACAAAAGAACATCTGAAAAATGGGGAAGGGCACAAGTCTTTGTGTGGGCTTATATTCAGGCATCTTTATCTGCAGAAGAAAAATGCTTTCTTAGAAAATGACTCAGCAGGGAAGTCTTGTCTCTACCTCTGTCAGGCTATGTATTTCAGGATCTCCCAATGAGCCTTCATTGTCCTCCAAGTTGAATTGTGTGACCCTGACTCCCTTATTGAGGCCACAGGAGAGACCTCAAAGAGACTGGCATCTCGATTCTTCCGAAGCTGATCATCCCCCACAGTCCTTCAGGTATGTCATCTCTTTGCCCCAGGGAGGGTAGTCTGATGACCTGTTTGTTCAGCCCAGCCCCATCATCTTAGGGGACTTAACCACCCCAGTAATGGGAAGAAAGAGCCTCTCAGAGCCGGACTCTCTGAGTGTAAGGGGTCCCAGGCAAATGCTGGGTGGGGGGTATCGGAATAGGGACAGCAGCTCGGAACCAGATACCATATTGCTAAGAAGAAGAAGAAGAAAAGGGCATTGGTTTAAGTCAGGAAACAAAAAAAGGGAACTGAGTGTCTGTGAAAGGGTGGGGTTTGCTCAGACTGTCCTTCCTCTCTGGACTGTAAGAATATGTCTCCAGGGCCAGAGTCTTCAGAGATCGAGTCCCACCTTCCAAGTCCCGGCTTCTCACTACGTCTGGGGAGCTACCTGCATTAAATCAGAACTGAGGTGGGTCTGGGGTGAGGCAGGGCCTGGGCAGCAGCCATAATTACTTCTGTTGGAACCCTCAAACGTCGGACAGGAAGCATGGCTGGTGCCATATATTTACTGGCGGAGGTGGCTCATGGAGAGTGGGAGTGTCACCAGCAGAAGGCCCCGGTTCCCTTCCAATGATGGAGGGAATATATAATATGTCTTCTGAGGACAGAGAGTGGGGTGGGGAGGTTATAAGAAGAGGAAAGAGTGACCCGAGGAGACCATCTGAAAAGGTAGCAAATGTTGGAAAGGGGGCTCTGCAGCTCTCGATGGGAAAGCGAGCAGCAGGGTAAAAGCCAGCCATTTTCACCCAGCACGAAATGTATCCTTGTATCAATGAGAACCTTAGAAGAAGGAATTCTAAGAGGTCGCTTAATCTGCAGCCACTAAAATAGCTCATGTGTCTCAAGCGGCAGTGCTGACTGGGGAAAGGTCTGTGCTACATAGAGTGGAGGCAACGGCCAAAGAGTACCAGGAGCTGGCTCATAGGAAAGATTGTGTGGAGGCTGTGGCAGCCTCGTGGTAAGAGTGGGTAGGAAACAGTGCCAGCGGAAAGCAGCCTCTACCTCAGCCGAGACAGTGTGGCCAACCCGTAAGGTCTCCGGAAAGGTTTTTCCTCTTACAGTTACCTACCATGTGCATGGCTGCCTTTTCTCTTGGCTTCATTATTTCTCCTCTCATTTCCTTCCTGCTCCCTCCCCTTCCTCTTCCTT